TAATACATCGGGTGCTGTTGCCCGGAAGTTACTTAAGTATAATTTTTCTTTTCCCTTCGAATGATCTGGTACACGTGACATTGAAATATGGCAACCTGAACCTACAGGCTTAACCCATGCAAAAGTCTACAGCAAGTAATTGGTTAACTGTAATATCGTGGATAAAAATTCTTGTGAAACTAACAGTCGCTCATCTGATAAACACATTTCCCACATTTTATAAATCTTCAAGCTTCTTTGCCATGTCCACGAAAGCCCGCCACTGAATCTCTACACTGATCCACTTGAAACCAGCGCACATGCTGGCACCATAATGCTTTGAGATCGTTTTCAGCCTACTTTCCTTATCTTGAAAAAGTAAGAGGTGACTTATGATATCACTTGTTGTGTGTTAGTGTATCACCCTTAATTTGTTCGTTTTCTGTGCGGTCCGTGTCATATCAAAGGTAAGTAGATGATTAGGCCTTCCCACAACTTCTTGAAGTACTATCTTCCGATTTGAAGGCGGTACAGCGACTGGCTACGGGGTGGACAGCAGAGGGGTTGGAGTTCGAGTACCGGGAGAGCATTTTTCTCCTCTCCAAGTGTCGTCTAGACCGGTTCTAGGGTCCACCCAGCCTCCTACCCAATGGGTACCGGGGCCTCTTTCCCCGGGGGTAAAGTGCCGGGGGTGGGGGGTGAAGGTGAGCACTCATCTCCAGCTAGAATAGGTCAAGAATACGTGGATCTACACATCTACTCCCCCATATTTCTTCATGGCCTAGTGCTTAATTAGTTAAGCACAGAGACTACTTTACGTCTACTCCAAAATCCTGAAGGTGACCTATTTCTTTAACAGTCTGCATGCACATCCCATCTCCTTCACGCTCTCTAAATGGGCCCAGTCATTTCACACTCCTTGGTTTGATCAATTGACGAACAGTAAGAATTGTCGCACTAGCGTGAAATTAAGGAGGGATTTTGAAGAAAGCAGTGTTCTGGGATTTGGCACCATGTATATGTGGTGTTAACCGACGTTTCGGAGGAACGTATCGCCTCCATCTTCAGGGCAGAAGAAAAAATATACCGGTTCTCACGGTCTCTTCGTTTGCAGATTTCTTATATTTGTTCTTCTACCCTGAAGATGGAGGCGATACGTTCCTCAGAAACGTCGGTTAAAACCACATATACACGGTGCCAAATCCCAGAAGACTGCTTTCTTCATAGTCACCGCCGTGAAAGCCTCAAATCTTACATAAGGAGGGATTTTGTTTTCAAATTATTTTTTCTCCGAAAAGAGGGGTTGCCTTATTTTCGGGCCCTTAAGAACAAATATGGACCGACTCTGTGGTATAGCGGTCAGAGTTACTGGCTACAGATCCAGAGGTCCCGGGTTTGATTCCCGGTGCTGACAGATTTTCTGAGAAGTAGCGGGTCTGGAACGGGGTCCATTCGGCCTTTTGAGAATAATTGAGGAGCTATTTCAAGGAAATAGCGGCTCCGGTCTAGAAAACCGAAATTAACGGTCGTGGGGATTCGTTGCGCTGACCACGCGACACCCTCTATCCGCTAAAGTTGGCACTAACTTCGTCGACAAACGGCGGTCGTTCGGTCGGTATAGTTCGCTTGCGGACTAAAACCACGGAGTTTCTTCTTTTCGTTTTTAAGAACAAATATGAAAAACATGATTGTGAGGACTCCTAATTATTAATCTAATGTTTCTTAGTATTACAGGTTTCATTTTTTGTTTTGCTTGCAATCCGCAGAGCTAAATGACATAGCCCCTATTCAATTTTGTCACACAAAAAAAAAAACACTTTATTTTTTTCTGATTTTCTCATTGGAAAAATGTGAGATCTTCTTTCTGGGTTCTGTAGTATGAAGCGCCTCATTATGGGATTTTCCCCCATCGTCCTGTTACTTCCTCCCCTTTAGGTTCAGACATTGATAGAACTGACGAATGAGGGTGAGGACACGGCTACACAGAACCTCCTGTCCACTGGTACCACATTCCTGCCTGCCACTAATTCAACATGGACATAAAATGACGCAACGCTAAGTTGAGCCAGTCAACTAGAAAATTTCGTTGAGAAGCTTGTGAAATGTGACAATTAAGATTAACTCTTCGTCTGCAATTTTGTCTCGTTATAGAAGGTCAGTTATTTTCGGTCGCCCATGAACCTACAACACACGATGAAAGACAGCCAAATGCAAATAATTCTCTCCCTTGAAAAAAAAAAACTGAACAAGATACCATCGCAGATGAAGAGACCGAGCATATGAACATAGCTGTTACTCTTCAGACTCCCAGTTGGAAGGTCCCTAATTCGAATATCAGTCGGAACACTTGAGTCCTACAGGTTAAAACGTAAAGTTGTCCCTGTGCTTAACGAACTAAGTACTATTTAAGACCTAAAATTCTAACATAATTATGAACTTGGCCATGACACTTTCTCCACCCTTCGCAGATCGTTTGCATTCCATCTCTCAAATCATTCGGAATTAAACAGTTCTGCAGTTGATATCGCAACCGTACGTAGCCAACACACAGAGCTGAACTGGACGGAACAATTGGTGTTTTGCAAAATAGTGTTGTCGAAAACTGAAGTTCCAACACCACATACGCATTATGCTACATCACTGATGCGATGGTCATACAAACGATGGATCGATTTAAGGTAAGGATTGGGCGGGAAATGGTCATAATTCACTTTAGGGCATTACCTCACTACAATAAAATTAAGTTAGTTTCTACTTGTACTGCTGCTTCTCTAAGTCAACGGTCAAGTTTATAGCCCTATACAGTACAACATTTTCATTGCCTATGGGCAACGTACTTGTTTCTTGAAACAAGAAGTTCCGGGAACAATTTAACAACGCCTGCTGTCTTACGCACCAGTGGTACATAGATATAAAAGAAAAACAGACTCCGTGGTTTTCGTCTGCAAGTGAACTATATCGACTGAGCGACCGCCGCTTGTCGGCGAAGTTGGTGCTAACTTTAGCGGATAGAGGATGTCGCGTGGTCAGCGCAACTGATCCCCACGGCCGTTAATTTCGGTTCTCTAGACCGGAGCCGCTATTTCCTTGAAATAGCTCCTCAGTTATCCTCACGAGGTTGAGTGGACCCCGTTGCAGACCAACTACTTCTCAGAATATCTAGTAGAGCCGAGAATCGAACCCGGACCTCTAGATCTGTAGCCAGGAAATCTGACCACTAGACCAAGAGGCAGTCAGTGCTATATAGGGATGCTGTTAACAACTATACATTAATAATCATATTATTTAATCTATTTCTGTGCATAACTTACACTGGTGCAGATTCCCAATACGTAAATCACAGATATTACGTCGAAGTTTCCGACGCTCACTATGTGTCTAATCGTACATACGTAAACAATACATACTAGTTTATTTGTAGCGTATATTATGAACTATTTCTTTATCAGATGACCCATGTCTAGCTCCAATTATTCGTTAGGTCTTCGTCTGACCGAAAACTATTGACATGTTTTGCAAGGTCGCCATGTTGTTATTTCACAATTTACAAAATGTACCTAACGAAATGTTTCACCGTTTCAGAACATCTGTCTATTCCTACACAACATTTCAGGGCGGTGTTTAAGTGACGCAAGGAGGATGAAATGGGCAGGGAATGTAGCAAGAATGGGGCGAAGAGGAATTCATATAGGATACTGCTTGGAAATCCAGAAGAAAAAGAGACCACTAGGAAGGGCGAGACATATGTAGGTGGACAATATTAAAAAAATCTTAGAGATGGGATGGGATGGACTACAAGGATCTGGCTCTGAATAGGGACCAGTGAAGGGCTCTTCTGAACACGGTAATTAATTTTCAGATTCTGTAAAATGCTGGGAAATTTTGAGTAGCTGCACAATTGGCGGCTTCTCAAGAATGGCTCAGCTCCATCAGTGAGTGAGTGAGCTCAAACCTCAAAAGAAGTTCGCATGACCGTCATACACCCTGGTAGCTTGAATACTCGTTAGTCCGCTCAAAAATTCTTACGGGGGGGGGGGGGGNACATGGACATGATCAATTTGAATGTAAATTTTGCTTGATGTAGACCTGAATGGTCCTATCACGTTCATTGTTACCTAACCACAGAAAGCTGTACTTTAACATTGCGATTATTTGCAACTGTGGGGCCACTAAATACAAACTCATTGCGAACTTTGCTTAACTGTTGCATAGCATCATGCCCCAGCTGAGTACCATCTATAAGCCCACTCCAACTTCTGCGCATGAGTACAAATTAAAGAAGTTTCTAGTTCTCATTTCGCTGCTGACAGTGTCCGTATACCACGGGGCAACTAATTGTTTATGCTACCTGAAACACAATTACTTTCACTACTAACAAACCCCGCGTATGGCGTACAAGCTGACAGTCACTCAGCCGGTCAAGAAATTTCCCACCTTTCAGGGAACCCGCAGTTTCACAATTGTGTTCACAACATCCAACCGTTGGATCCTTTCTTTAGCCACATGAATCCAGTCCACATATGTATACCACGTTTCTTTAAGATTCACTTTAATATTATCTTTCCATCTACGTGTCTTCAAAGTCTCTTCAGTTACGCATTTCTGTTAGCGGCCTCCGTAGTCTAGAGGTAACGTTCCCACCTCAAGACTCGTGGTACGCGAGTTCAAATACCCGGCGGAGGTCGTCGAATTTTTAAGGGCGGAAAAATTCAGGGAACAAGTCCTCCGGGAGGGACTTTAAGCTGTGTGTCCCGTGTCGTAACTTTACGGCACGTAAAAGAACCTCATATCCCCAAAGGGGATCACTGAGCCAAATTCCAGGACGTTTCCCGCCCAACAATAGTCTCTAAGGCCTCTGATAGATGGGGGAAGCATTATAGACACCGCTAAGCAAGTGGCCGAACTCGCTTGCTTGGCGGGACTGATGGTACGCACCATTTATCGGTAGGGTAAAGAGACTGGTAGAATATCATAGAGGGAAGCACAATAGATCAAACTGGTCACGGTGCATGGGGAAACCCACCCTCTCTAAATAACTAACTAACTACGCATTTCTGTTCCATCGTATTTCTGACACGGCCAGTCCGTCTCATTCTCCTTGGTTTGATCACCTTAATAATATTTTGTATAAAGTACAAATTATTCTTCTCCAGCCTCCTGTACTTCCTCAAGCTTAAGTCCAACTATTCTATACAGCATTCAGTTCTCCAACTTTCATGTACTCCTGTGTGTCTGCACGGTTTTAAGATCAAACAATCTGTAGATTTACGAATGTCTTGTGGGTGGTTCAATAAATGCGGGGTGTAGCCATCTTACATAACTCGAATTACCATTCCCAAGTACGAAACGAGAGAGACGGAAAACTCTGCAAGCTCTCATTGAGACATATTCTGATCTCGGACACACATTAAATTGTCATTACCCCACACGTACCGTGCATTACAAGCATTGGTCACCTTTGGAGTCGGTGGAAGTGAGCGGCTTCATAACCTAGTCGCGCTACCGTGATGTCCACTTGCTACGGGCTGGATGCGCCCAGAGACGGTCTACATATGGCGCAGAAAAAAATCCTGCTTGTGCTGGGGATAGAACCCCGAACAACTTACCCATAGACAATAAATTTACTGATGGAGCTATCCTGGCCCACACAAACAACCAGTATACACACACTATGTTGGCAATTGGCAGCAATCAAATACAATTCACATTTCTTGATTTCTGTAGCATATCATGAAAGGTTTTGTTAGTTTCTACAATCTGAAATCCAACAATATGTTTCTTTCCCCACTCGTGACTTTTTACCATCTATAATAAGTTATGTTGTATTCTCTTCTTTTTCTCCTGTCCATTTCCTCTGTGTTGCCATTCTCTTTTCTCCCTTCTACTGCTTTTAGAGAAGCTCTGTTACACTTCAAAATTAGTCCTCGGAGAGCAAATATTAACTTAAAAAGATAATCAGCCACTGGTAACGACTCTACCAACATAAAATGGCGGCATTTTTATACAAATCAGAATCAGAATTCAAGCCCAACATTGATGCAGTCGAAGATCGCACAATGTAGTAATGATCGGGTTTTATTTTGTCACATGGGCCTAATTAGTATCTATGAGAAAGTACTTGGGCTGTACTGGTTTCGAGAGTTTCACGAATTTCGTAAATTTACAGGCTTTTGTGTGTGTGCTGGGGAGGCACATGTGCGTCCATGTTTGTGCCTTTTGGTCCAATTATTTGAATAATTTATTAAGTTAAACATAGCCTGTTATTTTTTATAATTGTTTGATATGTATATCTCGAATATAATTCAACAATATTGGAACACGAAAATCAATTGTTATAATCCCATTGAAAGGCAACTGTGCTAAGGGTGTAATTTCTTTTTTCATTTTACAGATGCAAGATGAATGAACAACAGAACTAAACGGTTTCATATTTCAACAGGAAGGAATTTCAATTCAGATTATCTCTTAAAAATCATCATCACATATTCTAACTTCTAACTACAAGATGAGTTCCCAGGGTACTGTACCAATAATGAAAAGGGACCAGGCCTCTCCCAGTAGTCTACAGCACGAACTCTATAGAACCCTCTAACTTTTTCCTTTTTTCTTCTCCCTGCAAAGAAGGAAAGAAATGTGAGCTTTAATTTAGTTAGGAGCATATGGAAACAAAGTGAATAACTTAAATGACTTCTCTTTACCTATCTTTATCACAACCTATGAAGAAACATCATATTCTAAATCCTGAGGATCATGCTCACAATTTATTAAAAAGTAAGAAACAGAAGAAGCATATGGCCTCATGTCCCAGAAGTTCGCCTTACCTCCTCTTTATGAATTAAAATCACAAGCAGTTAGTAACACAAAATTTGATGCAGCACTTGATGCAGGAACATTTGTACATAATAATCACTAAAACTTACAGATTTTACATTCATGAAACAAAATATATTCTGGGTTAGCTCAGGATGCCTACATTCCTTCTGCTGTGTTGATCTAGACAGAGGTTAGCAGGAAATGTATGTCAAAGAACAGAGACCTCATGGTCTTGGGATGAGACAACAGGTTCTCATTCAGGGGGTTCTGAGTTTAGCCTCCAATTAGATCTGCATACAAATTTTTCTGCTAATAGAAAGTGAGGAATACCAGGCCCCATTCCCAAAGTTTAAAGTCCATGCTGAGTTGTAGGTCTGTTCTGGTAACAATCAAGCTTATGATTAACCTATCATTTGGAGATAGTAATAACAGAATCTGTCCTAAGGGTTCCCCAGTCTCAGAAATGATTCTCTCCCCTTGCCTACATGGGCAGAGCCCAGAAAGTTTAACACAGACTACATATGCAATCACTAATGTACAACACAATGAAATGCATGCAAAATTTTGTTGGAATATCTGAAGAAATAATCACGGATGGGAGGGCATTACCGGGTGTGAGGAGGTGGACTGGATTCAACAAGCCAAGAGCAGGGTCCAGTAGAGGTAGGGTGACCAACTTTCGGTCATGAATTTAAGGGAGATTATTTAGTTAGGGTGACCAACTTTCGGTCATGAATTTAAGGGAGATTTAGTCACGACAAATTTTGTGCAATTTTAGCGGCGCGGCGTCAGTCCAATGCTGCAGAACTAAGCATTTGTTTATCTTCTTGTACAAATTTAAAAAACTCTTTACAACTATAGTCATAATTAATTGCTACCATTAGCTCTGACTTAATTAGTTCTAAGCTGCTTTGATTTCTCTCATCAGTCCATTTATTGCTCATCAGTGAAAAAATTCTTTCAGTATGGGCATTTGAGCCTGGGATGCTTAAAACAAAGCCTAAGATCTTAATAAGGTTTGGCACATCAATTTGTTTGTTTCTTAAATCACTGAAAATATTGACCCAACTTTGTTCTATACGTCCTGTTTTTACCACATTCAGAACACTTTTTGCACTAGAAAACTCTTCANTTCTTCGTACAGGCTGTCCTCATTTACAAAATCAAGATTAAATTTTTTACAATGGTTTGAAAATGTCTGAAAGAAAGTTCAGTGTTTAAATTTAATGGCAAAAGACAATGGACAGGATTTGCATTTGATAACTCAAAATTCTTAGAAATGTACTTGTGCAAGCAACAATAGATTAACAAAATCATCTCTAGCACATTTCTGCGGGGGTGGATTCAAACAGTTTAAAATTTTTTCCGTGGCAGTATCAAAAATCCTGTCCTCTATCCTATGCTGAATTTTATTGCCTATACATTGCATTACACTGTAGCATTCCATGATGCTAAGATTAGCAGTTTCAAGAATTCTGACAGACTAAACAAGTACTGCACCAATGTTGGAAAAAAAATTAAGATATGCCTCAATAATACACTCCTTTTCTGGATCTTTATCACTGAAATGTTTTTTAATATTGTTTGACAGTCATTCACACTTTTCAAATAACTCTTAATAGGTAATCAGTTTTGTATTAATCTGTCCACAGGTGATGTTAGGGAAAGCCAACGAGTGGTCACATGACGAACAATCTCCAACCACTCGGCATCATCAAGATCAAAGAATGACTTCAACTCTTCTCTTCTTTTTGCTGATACTGAAAAGTGTCCATATATTTTTAACATGATCATTTCAATATCCACATCTAATCCATCAGATGCATGTTTTGTGGCATTATGCAATATATGATTTGAACAGTTTGCTTTAAGCACATTTTTGTTATCTTCTTGTAGTAGTTTGAACACAGAATTATGCTTCCCATAATTCACATTTGCATTATCTGCACAATATGAAGTTAGATTTTTTATATCTAACTTGTGTGTATCAAGTGAAGACTTGATCAAATTATGGGTAGCAATAGCTGTTTCATCAGCTTGTTCAATGAAGTCCAGGAGCCTATTTTTAACACCACTAAGAGGGTCAAAATACCTCACAACCAGCGGGAATAGCTTTCTGTTCTTGTGGTTGGAGGCATCAGCTGCAATAGAGAAAAAGTTGCTTGATTTTGCTGGATCCTTCAACACATCGATGAAGTCTTGCACACTTCTTGACGCTAGAACATTTTTCACAATAGCCTCTGCCTTTGTTCGGCCACAGGACATCTTCTTAGCCAAGTTAGAGTCATGGAAAATATCCTTCGATAACTTATTTGCGCAATCCATACTTCTGTAGCCGATGTTGTGTTTTACAGCATGGAAAACCAACGGTAGCTCACCTGCAACGTTTTTGAAGTCTTTACTGCTGTTCCCGAAAAAGAAGTGTAAATTTGAAAAGGTCTTCACGTCCCTTTCCTTTCGTTTATGACCTTCTGTGCAAGAATGTTGTCTGCAGTCGGTATTACTCCCGTGAGCGATGATGAACTCACGTTTACAAAGTATACAATAAGCTCTGTAAACGTTGGAGGGCACGGACTTTAACCATAAATATTGTTCTTCCCAGTTTCTCAAGTAAACACAAGTATTTAGTTTTCTTCTTAGGTGGAGTTTTTGCATTGTTGCTTTCACTTTCACTTTCACTGTCACTGCTCATTATGAAAATGGATTAAATTTGGTAATTATTTAAAAGCACGGGGATGAAAACGTCAAAAAGCAAAAACAGAAAATATAACACTCCGGAAACGGATATTCAGCTATCGATTAGTATATGCTAAATTTTCTATCGATTATTATAGGCAATTTTTCGATATTTATCGATGAGTACCTCTAAGTCTAAACTGTCGATAATAATGCCAGTTTATATCGGAATGTATTTGGCGGGAATAATATATAATTTAAATTTTGCGATCTTGATTGTTAATGGAATATACTGGAGAAATAGAAGGTCAATACGGGATCCGGGAGGATCCAAAAAATTAGCTCTAATACGGGAGATCCCGGGAAATACGAGAGAGTTGGTCACCCTAAATAGAGGGCTCTCACAAACACGATAACGAACTTTGTGGTTCTGCATAAGGCAGGAAATTTCTCAGATAGCTGAGCAGCTATTAGCTTCCCAAGAAGGACTCTAGTCCATGAATTTTTTTAAAAATTACACAACTAATTATCAGTCTCTGTGCGTGATCATGACCAGTCTGAATTCCAACTACTTAATCAATAATAGATATAAGGTCAGCTGTACCACAAGGATCAATGGAATGTAAAAAAAAAAAAAAAAGTCAAAGTTTCACTGACCTCTTGGGAAGCTAATAGTCAGTCAGTCAAGAAATTCCTTGTGGTTTATAATCTGAAGATTCACTACCATTTTTACATGAGCCCAGCACTGGACCCTATCCTGAACCAGATAAATACAGTCCACATACTCACACCCTATTTACTGCATATCTACAAGTTCCTTGAAAAGTATCAGAATAGTCATTCAGTTTAATGGTGGGTGCACATTCTGAGCTGAGCTAGTGAACCTTTCTCAGAACCTTTGTTTTAATTAAATCCCTTGGCTACTTCTGGCAAAACTTGAGTCTCTTCACAAGCCTCTTCATGCACACAAACAGGCCATCTCATTAACCCCTACATCTATCAAGTGATCTTCTCCCTTTAGGTTAACTCCACACGAAACAGCTGCTCTTTAGAAGTAGTTCAACTGGTCAAAAACTTCCTTGTCTTGTATAGAAATTCCAAGTCTCATTGCCATGTTTGCAAGCGCTGACCAACAGACCCCAACATGAGCCAGATGAACACAAGTCATGTCCTATGTCATATATTTCATGAACATCAGTTTTAATGTTATTCTCCTATCCATACCTAAGTACAAATAAACCCGTAAACATCCTGAATCACTCTGATGAAAGGTCACTTTATGTTACTGAACTGTGTCCAACCAAAGTTTTCTCATTGCAGAATTATGACCTAGAACATATCATTAGCATAATTTATTCCACTCTAGTTAGTTGGGGCACTGACAGTGGTCAAACATTTCTGCCTCATACAGTATTACAGACATAATATCCTGAATCCAAAGACTGTTGCTTACGAACTTTCAGCCTGATCCATTACAGAAAATACCTCACCCTCAGGGAGCAGCACACTATGATGTGAATGGAAGCTGAGTGCAGTGACCATCTTCCTTTGTTCCATATAATAAAACTACATGTGCATACTTACCAGTTGGCACAGAGAACTGGAATGACAGGAAGATAGTGTCTTGTGGATTGATGCGACGGAATTTGCCAGAGGCTACAGAAGAAAACTCTATTTCATAAGTTTTGATGCATCTGTAATATAGGAAATATTTTCCATTCTTACCCTTGGGCTATACAATACTTTAAAGTAGATTCTAAAGAGTTCTGACGATGGTGGATGACACACAGGATTACTGGATTTTTGGACATTTTCTATCATCAGGAATTCTAGGTAATAGAGGACACAACACTTTGGAAACTGGATCTGTCCAGTCCTGTATGTTGAAATAGTTGGGTAAATCTAACAGGAGTTGTCCAGTGATCGAGATTAGCTCTTTCTAAGGGGCCCAACTGAGTAGGCGTCTTCCTTTCGCACCTGAAGACAGAAACAGATCCAGTTTCTGAAACATCTTGTCCTCTATTACCTAGAATTCCGGACAATGTAAAAAGTCCAAAACCCCAGAAATACCTTAAAGGTTTCATGATATGAGCATTCAACCAAAGATTTTGTACAAATTCAAAGTCCTCACCTTGCCCCTACGATGATGTCACTCCAAAAGAGAAGAACCTCGTTGTAAGTCACATTGCAAGCCATCAGACGTGTAACCTGAATTACAGATACATTGCTTGTTGTGAAATATTCAACAAAGTGCATAGAATGAACACATAACATGGATGTCCTGCCTCTCTGTCTGCCCTTTCAGATTCTTCTTCCTTCAAAACTATTAATCATATTTTGATTAAAACTCATTTTGGATGCCATACTAAAAGTTGTGGGGCAAATTTAATTTTTGTTCACATCAGTAGCATAAACAGCATCTCTTATTTGAAATTTGAATGGAACGTTATTGATGTTTTCATCATGTAAAACATTTGTGAAGTATATAAGATACAGTTCTTCTTAAGAAGTACAAATGTATTTGAAATATTTCTCATGTATTTAAGCTAAAATAACTCTGACTCTAGGTGATTTGAATAGCATATGAACAGTATTTATACTTACAATTAAGAACTGACTGCTGGAATTTTGTTATTTATTCAAATTCATAATCAATATATAGCACCCTCTAAGCATTTTTCACTAGATGAAATTGTGAGGGGATGGAAACACCAGTGGATGTGTACAGCCATGCAGTCAAAATCTAATGACACTCAGATACTGGTAAAAATGGAATTTTTGCCATCAAACTTTTGCAATATGCATTGTTTAGGTATTTCATGTGATCATACTGTCTAACATTAACAAAAATGAATATGTTTGCTGTGCTGCACAGCAGTACAGGACTACATTAGACCATGAATGAGCAGGCAATCTTATATTTCAATGTATTGTTTCTATTTCACTATATGTAACATTTTGATAGTACTTATGCTGGAATATGAATTACTTCACAAAAGCTTGGAGGATTTTCTTCTCTTTTTTTTTTTTCTTTCTATAATGCAAACATATACCAGTTCAGTAAAGTTTTATCCAGGAACTCTTATGTGAAACCATCAGGCTAACCCAAGCAGATGCAGCAGCAATGCTATGTCCATCCACATTACATTATGTATATATTACAACAGTGATATATACATGTGATTTCCTAACTTTACATCTCCACTTACGCAGAAACTGCCTTCTAAAAGAAGTTATTGAAGGAAAGATAGAGGGGCAGATAGAAGTGACAAGAATATGAGGAAGAAGACATAAGAAGATGCTGGATGACCTTGGGGACAGAAGAGGATACTGTCATTTGAAGGAAAAAGCTCTAGATCGCATTAAATGGAGGAATTGTTTTGGAAGAGACTGTGGACCTGTCATCTGACAGATTACTGATGATGATGAGATAATAAGATGTCTGAGTAAACTCTATCTGCATGTGTCTCCTGTTAATTCGAGCGACTTCAGCAATGAAGTAACATGAGAGGGTATGATATACATATTAGACTAATGCCATTAGTCACCTCAGTAATACCATAAAATAAACAGGACTATATAAAAGCTTCAAAGCCCACAGAAATGGCTCTCTTCATCTTTATAAATCATACAGTTTACACTTAAACAACTTACAAGCGGTCTGTCAAGACTGTCAAGACATGGTCAAAAGATTATTTTCTTGGGTATAAAATTTCTTCATTATTTCATTGTGTAGAATCAATTACAGTCTTTCATCAGACATTTCCTTCATTAGTGACATTGTGCCACTAAGATATTCTGGTTAACAACCATTTTATTGCCCACATCCATTAGTTAAACTGTTGCTTATTACAACAAACTCATAAACTTTATTCTTTCATCTAAATAAATTTACTTTAAGTTGGATTCATATTTCTAGGGTAAAGAACTACTTTATCTAGAATTAGATGCAACAAATACAATTAATATTTTCATTTCCTGTTGATTTAAATGGACCATTTGTACAGCTGGTGTTTTTAATAAAACTTCATCCAAGAGCTCTAAACTGAAACATAAAGGTTACTTCAACTGAGCATTTCATATATACATATTACATTAACGGTAAATATGAGTTATGTAATTCACACTTTCCTGAAGATAATAAGACATAGCTGACTGAATTATATCTGTACATGCCTGCTGTTATATTCATGTATATTCAGCAACAAAATAATATGATAAATTTTGGCACAGTATATGTGACAATATTGGCCATCTCAATAGCATGGCATTCTACCTCCCTGAAAACACTTCAATTTGTTGAAATGTTGCCTTCAAGACCAAGGTGTTATGGGAAACTAGGGTTTATGGAAACTGTTAACACTCATCACAACCCAAGTTTCTTGTTCCTTCTTTAAACATAAATATGTAGTAACAGTAGACATAAAATATGAGTTTAAAGAGTATTACAGAAGGAGACATAATGACAAAATTTACTGAAACTAAAAAAATGGTTTCATATAGAATTACAGACCTAATCCTAGCAAATGTGAATCCCTTGGTGTGGAAGACGCTAACATTTTTCATGCCTAAGCAGATTATAAATAGCATCAAAGTTAATATTGTGTGAACTAGAAATCAAGTCCTGAATTAGGAACTTAAAAAGACCTTTTATTAACAGGGACAATCCAAACCCTGTATTTTGTATTGTCATACAAGCAATGGACTGTACTAAGCTGTTCTGCATTACCTTGCCCTACAAACAGCCATATTACCAGACAACCAGTGCACAATATATCTGCTTATCCTGTGTTTCCAGGCACCAACTTATGTACCTACCTGTCCTGGGGCCTCTGTCGGCTTGGAGCAGATATGCAGAAGTGCAACACTTGGTAATTTAAGGGGCACTAAAAGGCGTAGTTTCTCTAATGTAGGCACAGAAGTTGGACCCCTCACACGATGGGGGCCCTGTAATAAAACGAAAATATCATGCCATGATTTTATATTAGTAACATCATAATTATTATAGTCATTTGTGACATAGGCCTATATGGTGTTAAATAATATGACAGTATGCTGACAGTGAAGTAGCAGCAACCTGTCCGTAAGGGCCAGAAAGGCAGGGCCCCAATAACACATAGAAAGTAGCTTGTTGATTTTGTACTTTATCTGAATTTTGTATGGCATTAAATTATGTGGTTTCGAAAACTTTTAATTTGTTTACAATCTGTATGGCGTTTTTGTTTCACAGAATCAAACGATATGCTAGTAAATATGCAGTGTAACAACAGTACCATAAAGTAGAGAGTTGAACTGTGTAAGTCCATAACTATGCAGAGTTAGCAATAATTTCAAGGGTTACATTACAGGAACAGAAAATGAAATAATACTAATACTGGTACTAAACAGATACTATACACGAAAATAAATTGATAGAAAATTGTTAAACTGAATTCAAAGACAATTTACAAGTGTCACATAAATATCTGCCGCTGTGATTGTCAAAGAACCTAGAAGAGAGATTGGGGGGGGAGGAGATGTAGCTGGTGAATCCCATTAACAGAAACAGTGCATTTTAAGCACATGCACTTCCTTGCTGTAACATCAGTCTCTGTAACCATCTGCACATATTGATCCATGGGCAGCAGAGGGCACAGACAAACAAAGAAGAGTCCAAAACCATTTCTGACCACAGGAATAAGATTGTACTTGTACAAGCGGTAAGTACTTCAACTTATGGTTACAAGGATAAGTAGCCCATGTTTGAAATGTTCTTGTTAATACAAAACAAGTTTAAGGTTGCTAAAAAGAGGGTACTATATAACATAAAACATAAAATTATGAACTATGAAAAATATGACCATTTAAATAAGAATTAAAATTTTCCCTTCTTTCTTTAAATATAGGCACTGAGAGGAAGGCAGACTTTATTCATTCCTGGCCTGTTCAGACAGTCATGATCCACCACCACAGAGGCGTAAGCTATTTGAAAATTGGTTATGAAATGAGTATAATGCATATGAACCAGCATCCAATACATCATTTTCATTTCATGCATCCTGCTGTGTTATATACAGCAAAAATTGTTTCTGTTTGTTGTGTTGTGACAGTCAATAAAGAGTTGTATCCGATATAGCTTCCAAACGTTCATTAATATCCCTGAATCAACTTTCTTTGACAGAGATGCACTACTATTTATTAAATGCAATCACTACTTAATAAGGTAGTAATATATTTCAATATACCATACTGGAGACTGTCGTTAACAACTGAGGAAAATCAAGAAGCCTCTTAGTGTCAAACACTGGCAACTAACCCCTTTCCCTTTCCACAGCCCACAGAGCCACAATTCTCAGCTTTTAACACTAACAGTGTTTTTACCTCCACAGCTCTTAACTGAGCTCTTAGCTGTTGTTCTGGAAACACAGGAGCCCCGGCATTCAGCCACACCTGTGCAGGATTTGTGAGGGTGTCATCTAGCAAATATAGAGTGTAGCGAGGGGAAGCACCTTGCACACTGAGAACCCGAAGCATAACATTCATCCTCTCATCTGGCTGTGAAGCTGTGTTATTGCTGAACACAAGCAAGACTGACCTAGTCCAGGCATCCTGCCTGTTTGAACCTGCTGCCAGCACTGACAACCTGCAATGGAGTAATTAGCTACAGCAGCAGTCAAACAGAAGGTGGGTGACATATACAGGCTGTAAGGTTGTGACATTGCCAGATCTTCTCCTGGAACCTGTAGGCAGCACTGACAAACTACTACAGGAAAATCTGCTTTTCTAAGAGTCAACCAAGAAGGCAGGTATAGCTCTAGTACTTAGAGCTAACAGTCCAGGAAAAGCTGCGCAGTGGATGGGCAGGTCCATTCGTGAAAGTTGAGGGGGGTTGTGATTAGTCTTTTGGCTGCATTCAGTGTGAACAGACGTCTCAAGAGCATTCTTCCTTGTACAGTCAAGTTAAAAAGTTTTGACTCTTGGAGTCGTATCTGAGTGCATTATTCTCTAATTACTGTATTAATATTGTGATGTGTTACCTTACGTCCATTGTCGTGCAACGGCTACAATGAAAACTGTTGAGTTCCAACGGCGACAAATCGAATACAAACAGACCATTGCAAAGGAGCGTTCCCGAGGCAACGGTTTGCCAAACATGCAAGTTTGGAATTGGCACTTGTATGGTAACGCAAAGAACAGGGAGCCGTTGCGTAGACAATGCAGAAGCAACGAACGCGTCTCCCCAGAAATGAACTACAGAGAGTTTGTTGCGCCCGTTATGTAACAACGGACAGTAGAAACGAAACAGTGAGGAATGGTGTCTGAGATCCAGTCAAACAGAACACCTACATAAGCCGAGAGCTACAGAGACAGAAGACAGCAACAAGACAGCAAGAGAGCCGTCGCCGAAGACAGTTGAGTTCCAACCATGGCCAAAGATAGTCGAGACGTCGCATTGAAGTACTGGAGCAGAAGTCAAGTGGTGACAGTGACAATATTTTATTTTATTGTTTATTTTTATTCATTGATTTTCTTTTTTGTTTATTTATATTTGTACATTTTTTCTATCTCCTTTAACATGCCACCTACACGAAGTAAATTGAGTGGAAAAGTATTGCATTCACAAGCAAGAGAAATTGTTAGTAATGTATATAAGTATGTGGAAGAGGCTGGGCCAGCAATTACAGTGAAGAACATAGCAGTGGAAGTAGCAAAGGCAACAGATGTATCGGAAAGTAGTGTCAGAAGAATAATAAGAGAAACAAAAAAATATCAAATCTGGGGCTTCCACTTCCTTTTCAACACCCCATAAAGAAAGACCTAGAAAATCTTCACTAGCCACTTTGGATGACTTTAACGAGTCTGTGGTGCGAAGAACAATTAATGACTTCTACATAGTCGAAAAACGGAGACCTACCCTGAAAAAAGTTCACGAAAAGTTGAAGAAAACGTTAGAGTTTCAGGGATGCATCTCCACATTAAAGAAAATTATTTTGAAACTGGGGTTCCGCTGGAAGAAAACAAAAAATAATCGGACATTGCCAGTGTTGCCCCTTTAGAATAGACCCGTGTAATATGTAAATAAACTCTTCATGTATATAACAGTGAAAAGTGTATAACAGTGTATAGTGCATAACAGTCTGCCATTTGGCACTTAAAACTTAACATCGGATGTGTGAACATCAGCGAGAATAAACCATCACTATGCAATACAATGAGGTAAGAAGTTATTTCCTTTTGAGAACACCTGTACTGCATTCCCCGCCACACTTGTCGGCATGCTGGAGGTCTCCCCGCCACTACCAATACTTCTTCTACCTCGCATTGGAGGACTGTCAGCTCTAAGTACTAGAGCTATAGATTATACCAAGAGACACATAACTTCATAGCCAGATCTACTTTACTGTGCTGACAGCAACATCAACCTGCAACAGACTGAGTAGCTGTTGCAGAAGTTAAACATGACAGCAGGTAAACCTCAATGAGAGCAACAGAGCTCAAAGGCAGGAAAATGTGCATATCTTTCATTTGAATCTAACTGCCCTAAGACAGATATGCAACAGCAGTGATTTCTTACAACTTGCTAACACCATGGACAGGAATGCCATTCTTTGCCGCTCACTTTAAATGATTTTTACCTATCAGAGAAAAAGAAATCATTACAGTTTGGCTCAACACACCACTTATTTTATAAATAAGTCCCCAGAGTTCATTAATATTTTAATTAATGTTTGTAGTAATTAACAGTAATGTTGAGATAAATTTTAAACTCCATTTTATGTGCACAGTACAAAAACGGTGGACCTGTACCTGTCATCAGGCATCCTTACAGCAGCCTGTAGTTCCTGGTTGCCAAGAAGTGACAGCAAGGCCATGGCTGTATATACCGGCTTCTTGAAGAACTGCACATGTGGTGGATTTGTGTTGTTCATCTGAAATCTGGAACAGTTAAATAGGTCCTATTTAACTTTATGGTATAAGGAAGCTCATTTTAAAACAAAGTGTGAGTACATGAGGAGCAGCTTCATAGTGTTTCAGAATAAGCATATTTATACAAGCTAATCTGCGAGATAAAACTCAGCCAAACATCTAAAATTAGCCTTCTTCACTAAATATTATATTATGGTTCTACAATCATCTCAAAATGTATACTATCCACAAGAACAAAGGGAGAAATAGAACTTCATTAAATTGAATGAATTATTAATTGCTGTAACTATTACCTCTTAAAAATTACTGTAATTTGGATTTACTATAATCCTGAAGGTCTCTCTGCCCTGAACTCATGACTTCCAGAACTCAACCCAACCAATTTTTTCTACATTACACATTCTCCTATATATAAGAGTGCTGCAAAAGCTATAAAGCTTATAGCAGCAGGCTCTTGTGAATAGAGTAATGAACCTTTAGGTTCCATAATTTATCGACTATCTGACTAACTATTAGTTTTCACAAAGGAATAGCTTCAGTCGAATTTGTTGGCTAGTTCTAATATAGCTAATTAGACTGAGGATACAAGTTTCAATTGCAGTGAAATTTAGGGCCCAGTTTTCTCAGTTTAGATACCACATATAGTCTCTCAAAACATTAAATCCAGCTGCTGTGACTAAGAGATGGGAATGCAAATGGTAGTTGAATGTGCTTTAAGCAATAAATGCATTACTATGCAGTATTTTTTCTACTGTTTAACCTAAATAATTTGACTACAGCTGCAAATGACTCACTGTAGTATGTATCAGATTCCTTTCTGTTTCTGTTCTGGTAAGATATTCAAAAATCTGTTTCTTCTTCTCATTTATACTGCTGAATTGTGATGCTGAACTGAACACTTGAACACTGGCTTTATCTATTCAATACTACATGAAAAATAAATCACTATAAGTATCTCGTATCTGAGTTCCAGCTTCATCAACGATTTTCAGGTTGGTGAAGAAAGTGAGTTCAACTGGGTCTTTCTTGGACAAGGAATAAACTAAACAAAACACTAGCTAATCAAGGAAAAGCTTTATGAAATTGGAAGCAGATTAGAACACTTGCCTCACAAATCCCTCATATGATTAGCTCAACAGGCATAGGTTTTGATTACAACAGTGTGAACAGCAACTACAATTTACATCTATTGCCATATAAAACTATACAGGTTCAAGCAATTGCAGACGGTGATGGTGAATGAATAACACATCTTTGTAACTGGTTTTTATAGCCAGTGTAAGATAGTGTCCTTGTTCCCCAAACTTAGGTTTATATTGATGAAGCTTAGTTCCATCTGAGTGGGTATATCAATGCTCAGAACAATAGTTATTAGAGCAGTATTAACTTGAGACAAATTTTTGAAGTACACATTCACAATCAAAAGTCTGGTGTGTGATGTGCCATTACTTCTGTAGGAATAGTTATTTGAATAAATTTTTGATTGAGAGCTTTATGTCAGTGACATTCTACACAGCATTACAGAAGAAGAAAGGGCATATGGCTACTTTATGCAAGATGGTTCTACAGTACACAATGTTAATTATTCCAGTAATGTCTTAAACTAGGTGTCTAAAGACAGACTGATAAATCACAGATTATGGCCTATAAGATCTCCAGACTGAAACCTCTGTTATTTTTGCCTGTGAGAAGACCAAAAAATTAAGCATATTCAAATCATCCCCACACACTGGATGATCATAAGCACAACATGTGTAAAACAATTATATCCGCTGAGGTCATTCTACAATAACTGGAGTCAAACAGTGTTTTCAAGAAGAGTTCTATCTTCTGCAATATAATGTTGTGTAGTCCACTGAAAATCAACCGACATTTTGGAGTAACATGTTGCCTCCACCTTCAAGGTCAAACAGTAAGCCAAGCAAGTAACCTGCTGTGTTTGCTACCTGTTTCATGTTGGTTTCTTGCTTGACTTATTCTTTGACCATGAAGATAGAGGTGACATGTTGCTCTGGAATATCAATTGACTTTCAATGGTGATAAATCTCAGAAGAGAGGACTCTCATAAACACAGCAGTGAGGACCTCAAACTGCACAACTCTTTTAAGAGACTTGAAGTTTGTTTAAGGTAAGAAGGGAGACATTTTGAGCACTTATTTACTGAGATGGTGAGTTATTCTAAAATAAGCGTTTACTTTAAGAAATGCACTTCCACATTTATAAAACATGGCATATTATCCGTGACTCAAGATCCTTTTCTCTTGACAGGTGATGGCTAAGCTTCTGGCTAAGAGAACGATGATAAGAGAGTCAGGTGATTCATCTCTTCAGGAAAGACTCTGTAGTATCATAGGATGTTAGCAAATATTTTAAATGAACCTGCTGCCTCCATATCCTGACCTGAAAATGGAGGCTGTAGGTGAGACAGAAGTGTGTGTAATTAGATCACTAATTCTTCATTCAATCAGGGGAACAGTTCATTAATTAAACAGTTAGCTAATTTTACAGTTAGTATTTACTTAAATGGATAGTTCGACTGTTAGTTACATCATCAGGTAGTTGATTTGTCAGGCAAATACTGTAAGGAACTAAAGCAATGGATAGCTCACCTTGCCAGCAAAGTGCGCTGTGTGAAGTAGTATGGGTGATAATTGAGGAATGCATTGTCATTACTGAGTAATTGCAGGGGCAGGCCATGCTGCCGCACCATGATTTGCTGATGGGCAACAATCACTGCTGCAACCATAGCACCATACCTTACATCAGCCCTCCAGCTTTCGCTCTTGGACCAGCCAGTCAGAGGATCTGCCTCACTACAGACAGATACAGACAGTGTTTTCAGCAATGTAACTTCTGTAACTGGCCATGTATTGCTATGTACAGGTAATTATCCTCCAAATGTATTCAATGATAAATTAGCTACTTTGTTCATAAGATTCATTAAATGACATACAACTAAAAAAGCTGGCCATTAACTGTCTATAAATTACAATACAAATCTACATGCATTTTTATTTGTACTTCATGTCAAACATCATTTATGAAAGTCCTGTCAGCCCCTGAAATTTGTTTCTGCTTTTCAGCCTTTTCTGACACTATCCATTTCCCAATACAGAGAAACAAAAGCAGAACCAAACTCCAGTGAGTTACTCTTGTCTACACTGTACACACTCACTCATTTGCTAGTGGAATTCTTCTTAGAGATGGGTACATGATGCTAATATTATGAGCTAGTTCAAGACCCTGCTCCAAGATGGCAGAACCTGAGCCTCCCCCTTTCTTGTGGAATGAGATGAAGTTCAGAGAACAGGCTGTCTGGTTGGTGCAGTGCTGTAACAATCCCCAGCACAAGGGGTGCTTCTCCCAGGTCTTAAACAGACCGGCAGGGCCACCAAGCCGTAGTATTCCTTGTGCAGCATCTTGCAAGCCCGCAGAGCATGCTTCAAAGTACTGCAGGTAGCCTGTAAGTACATTGCAGCTCTACTATGATGATCTACATTACACCATGTTTTCTGTTTAATGTACATGAAAACGTTGGTGGCAACTCGTGAGCAAATTGCAGGTTCTGTAATATCTGGTTCTGCAGCAGATGTCCGACATGTCCTCATTCGCAAGCCACACATTCTGAACATGTTGCATGGGTATGGAGGAAAGTCTCAACATATTTCAGACTTCATTATCTGAACAAATTTGTCAGTTTCAGGAAGTGACCAGTTGACTCTGGTCAAACAGCAACCATTGTCCACTGCATATGGTGAAAGGTGAGAACCATGGCCATGCTGGAGTTTGGGCTGAAGGAAAATTCCTTTCCCCTGCCAGGAATTGAATCCCAACTGCACAGTTTAGAGCTCCTCACTTTACTGATTCAGCTATGACAGCCCTGAAAAGCACAGTCTCACTCATTTTATAATGTACTGTGCTATGACTGAAAATAATACCAGTTCTTGTACTCCAAAGTAATTTGGGATGTGTGTACTTAATATGAATGCCACATGACTCACCAGTTACTCTGCTGAGAGATAATATGTCATACAGATTATAGTTAAAAATACAAAATCACGTAATAAGAGTAAAGAAAATTATTAAGTGGATTTCAATGCCCATTATAGAGTTTTATGTAAGTACACCCCAGCCTTATTAATCCTGTGAACAGTAAATGCAATTTTACAGATAAATTAATGAAATAATAAAGACAAAGTCCCTGGAGCACAACCATTTTTCAGAAAACGATATTCAATTAGGTGACTGAGAAATTCCCCACCTTCATGGAAGACAAAAGTTCTACAGTGTGTTCGCAGCAGCCCATAAGTCCAAGGCCCTGTGCAACACATTTCATAACAAACTATTACTTTTTACTGTTGAGGTTTTACCCCATCTGACACCATAGTAGAAGACCATACCTCTTTGGTTGCATGCAACTGCATTTTTAACATATATGCAACTACCTTCAATATTTAGGGGAAGTTTTTCTCTGATTAATTGTATGAATATAACACATGTATGTAGTTCTTTTGCATAAGTACTCAGCAGTTCTTACAAATATTTCAAAGAACTATATTTAACACCTTCTCATATCTTCATAACGTTCTAACTGTTGGCTACTATTCACTACAGTTTCTGTCCTGGCACCCTCACTGTATGAAGAGTAAGATTAATTTGTAGCTGGGCCAATGCATTGTCTTTCCACTATGCATGATCATCCCATTGGTTGCTGCATTTGCTAGTGCATCAGTTATGGTGAGACTGGGGCTGCAGCAACATTGTAGAGCAAAGGTGGCCCTGATGAATCAGCAGTGGTGATGTGAAAATGAGCTATTGTACTCCCCTGTGACATTCATGTGTGACTCAGTGTCATGTGAGGCTCTCTATGTGCAGGGCATGGATCCATTCATACAAGAGACTGGGTATTCCCATATAGCTCTTCTGTGAAGTTCAGAAGAAAGTGTCCCAGAGTCTGAATTCCCTATATAATTACTATGCAGTATCTCGTCAATAAAGTAAGAACAACTGGCACATTTAGAGACAGAAACTACACGGTCATTTTTCGGTATTAACAAAAGTAAAGCTGAATAGTATCAGAGTTCAGCTTGAACATCTGCCTCAAAAGCCTCCTATGTGACATGCACACCATCATAATATTTGCTCCCTTGGATTACTTCTGTAATGTTCATCAGGTGTTACGTAGTTACTTACTCTGCAGAGTGAAGTTCAAAATATTGTAGCTCTTCAGATCTGGCTCATTCCATGTTTCAAATCGCCATTGCGCTACTGCTGCCAGTCCGTAGCGGCCTGCAAATAGAATGTGCAAGTAGAATACAAGAAAATGTTATTTCCTACCTCAATGCATATTGCAAATATTCTCATAATCTGCTTACATCTCTCTGTAAGAATGTTAAGAAGACTAATAGCAGGCTGTGAGACAGAGATCTATACATTCTACGTCTTAACATTAAATGCACATAAGTTGCCAGTTTCACACTCCAGTCACTATTAACTATGAGGAAATAACTACTGGCTAATGGGCTATTTTCAAAATAATACTACTGTCCAAAGGAGTCAAATGCCTTAAACTAAATTCAGACAAGGGGATGAGCTGAAAGGAAGCAGTTTGATTAGGAAAATAATAGGGTCTACAGGGTTTTCTGGATCTGTAGGGGCACATCTGGGAAAACACAGAGTGAAACCTAGGGTACTGTGGGAACCTCCCACATTCTAACACACAGCTTCAACAGTCTAACAGACAACATTCAACTTCTGCTCAAGCCAAGTCAATGTCACACTGTCATATTTTTACAGCACTCACTGTTCGGCCCACCTGTAGATAATCGTGTGTGCCTGCCAATCAGAACTCACAATCACAACTGCACCTTTTCCACCCAGCAAGCATGGTATAAAAGGCGGAGCTCAAAACTTGCTATCATCAGTTCTTCAATCGTCTTCACTCCACCAAAGACAGCTAACGTAGCTACGGTGATGTCACAAAGCAGAAGCTCTCCAGCAAACAACACTGAGACAGTGGACTACACCAGCGCGTGCACTACAGCGCCAGGCCAGCTAGACTCCACTCTCGCGCCGACTCGTAACTGCCGAGAGGCCATAAAGAAGGCCCAGACTATCCGACTAGGCTCGCCGCTATCCTGCCCACTCGTAACCGCTCAGTGACCGTAAAGGAAGGCCCACGCTACTACTAGCACAGGCACGGCAGAACAAACGGCCATTTTCAGGGCCTGCAAACTTGTGAAGTACATATATAGATATCGAGATGGCTTCCCATCCATTCTGTACATTTGAGAATAATATATATGACTGTTACAGTTTTGCGTGGTTGTCTCTTAGAACATCGACATTCCACATTGGTGACCCCGGCATAGTTACAGCTGAATTACCATGTGGTGCGTGGAACTCCACCTCATAAACCAAGTGACTAAGTAAGGTATTGTGTTTCATTTGATGGGTGGGACCATTGGACAATTGATTTTAGAAAGGGAACACAAAATAGAGCATGGACCATCATAGTTCTGGGGTTACCGAGCACACACCCTTTCAATCCAATATAATATCACCTAATTTAATCTAATCCAATCTAATCTGAACCTCATGATCTCTAAGGGTAAGTCAGAGAACAAAAGAAGAATCTCTGCCCCTGATGAAAATGGAACACTGGTCCTCAAACCTATAGCCACTATCCTAAGCTACTCCATCTAATTTAATATTCTTATGCTTCTCTTCAACCTACCAATGTATCTGCTAGCCACCTCCCTCACCAGGTGTCTCCACATCTTGGCTTGAGTACTGTTACTGAAGTCACTAAAAAGATGGGATGGGTTCCCCATCAGCTCAAAGCCAGGGTTCAATCTATAGAGCTGCAACCAGTCGATCCACTGATCCAGAAATGTAAAGTTGTAGTATGGAGTCCCAGACTCATCTACAGAACTGCCAACATTTTGAAACACAGCAAAAAAATAAAAAAACCTCCCAGTTGTTATTCAAGTCTGTTATTCAGAGTTAAAACCGTGGCATGCTTTCAAGTTCAGAATGCAATTAAAGAGTGACATAGACTGGCATGTTTGAAACATATTCTAAGAGACCTGATAATTAAATGACTGGATTGATTGTATCAAATTCTGTATAATGTCACTAATCTTTAGTGAATATTTTCACCTTCAGAGTACTCAAATTCTGACTTATAAATGCATTCCAAGATTTCTGCCATGGTTGAAACCATTGCTGGAAATCATTTTCCAAAATCCTTTCAGTAGAGTTGCAATGTTGCTTTGTAAATTTTTAAATAACTAAATATGGGATTCCTAGAACAAATTTTCAAGTTCAGGAATATGAAAATGACACACAGAGCCAATTGAGGACTGTACTCTTGATGTTCCAACTTTGGTATATGTGTTTCTTTGGTCAAAATTAGCTTTCCTGAATGTTCTTCTTAGGTAGACACACTTTCATCACTCAAAATTCTCTCCTCTGGAAAAAGATTTGGTATTCTTAAATGAATGTGAAGCCATAAAAATTTCAAAACATCCAGATAGAATGCTGATTTGCTGTTTGCTTTGGAGGAACAAATTTGTGATGGACAGTTACTATGACATAAAACATAACATAAGGCAGCAATGTTGTGATCTTTGATTTTAAAATTCACACTTGCTTCATTCCCAAAATCAAGGAGGATGAGTGGGGTCAAACATGAAATATGCACAGTTCAGATGAAACATGCAATCAAAATTTCAGACAGAAAATCTCAGAGGAAGAAATTACCTAGAAGTAAATGAGATGATAATATTAAAATCGCTCTCAAAGGAACAGGGTGGGAGAGTTGAATTAACCTGGCCTAAGATAGGGTCCAGACTGTTGTGAAAACGGTAATGAATTGTCAGGTTCAGTGAAAGATGGGAAATTTATCTACCAGTTCAGTGAGGAATTAGCAGCTTTTCAAAATGGTTTCTGTTCCATGGTGTTAGTTAAGAAACCAATTGAAATTGGTAGTGGTAATGTAGTGGTTAAGGCACTATGCTACAAGTCAGAAGGTCGCGGGTTCAAATTGGTCATTGGATTTTTTCAACTGACCTAATCCTTCCAGCTGCACTATGGCCATGGGGTTCACTCAGCCTCTGACAGAAATGAGTACCAGGAATTAAATAAATAATTTCCCTTGGGAGTAAAGAGCGGCCGGTGCATAAGGCTGACAAACTTACCGCCATCTTTGAGCCGATTGTCTAGATAATGTGGGACCCTCAACGTCTCACAACCCTATGGGCCTTCATGGCCTGTTACAGGGTTAGCTTTGCTTTACTTTACTTTACTTTATAAAAGTTTGTATGAACAATTTCCTTCCACTCAAAGGCACCAACATATTACAATATGCAATTTTATATTTTATATTTTAAAAGCAATTATACATGTAAACCACATTTTACAGATACAGCATCATAAAACTGCTTATAGAAAGGTCGTATGGAGCAGGGATAGCGTAGTCGGTAAAGCGAGTGGCTATGGACTGGACAACTGAGGGATCAGAATTTGAGCCCTGCTAGGCCCACCCAGCCTCCTATTCAATGGGTACAAAGGGTAAAGTGGCTGGGGTCTGAAACTGACCACTCACCTCCAACTAGTGTCAAGGTCAAGAAAATGTGGATCTGTACATCCACTCCACCATATGCTTTCATGGTGCAGTGCTTAATTAGTTATGCACAGGGACAAATTTACGTTATAGATAGGGTTTTGCCTGTTTGATCTCTCTGATTAAATCATTGATTTTTAAATTCTGACTGCTGAGCAACATTGCTTGAACTTTAAAATTTCTGTTACATTAAATTACAGTGGGAAGATGAGCGTTTGGGTAAAGCAATTGAGGCACAAAAAGCTTCAGAATATTTTATCATATGCCAGGATGCAAACCAGACACCATAAACATATTACCTTACTGTGATGAGGTCCAGCAGCCAATGTATCCGGACTTGAGATATGGACTGATGGGGTAAGGAACCAATCAGGGCCAAATTAAAGCGCTCATCCTTGGCCAGCAGAAAGTTGGGGGCTGATGGGCTGAAACCAAAGTCACAGCAAGTTCTATACATCAGTACAGAACCCTATTTGTTTGCTGGAGTTGTAACATTTCTAATGCTTTTCTTTCCATAATTTGCAAGCAATGGGCTCACAAGTTATATAAATGCTCAAAAATAATTCTGTCGACATAAATATTCACTCCTTTATTACAAGATATTCCTCTTAGAATTTTACTTTTTTAAAGAAGAACAAATTTTTAATGTCACCTCAGACGTTTCAGAGAGAGTACAGTTCTAACCTGTAAACCACATTTAAACACTGTAATTCCCTGATTAATGGGCAATTTGTTGACTAATTTCAGCTAGTACAGGTTGTCCATTGGGCCCAATCCTGAATTCGCTGATAATTTGGACAATACAAAAAACAAATTGTTGGATTTGATACCAGTGCAGGGGTGGCCAACAATGGTGACATTTTGATTTTATTAATAACATGTTAATCTACCAGTTTACACGGCGTCAGATCCCAGGAGACAGTCAACTTCATAGTCCCCACCACGAAAACCTCAGTTCTCACACAGAATATACATTTTTTTTGGGGGGGGGAGTATTTTGTGATGCTGTCGGTATCGAGAATATGTAGCGTCAGGGCCCTCTGTCAGCTTTGAGTTTATCGTACAGACCATGGATCATACAATGTGTACCATTAAGATGCAATAGTCCTTAGTTTAAAGCTGGACTAACATCTTCAGAGCTAACTTCAGTCAAATTAATTTCAGTAAACTCACTTCTCGGTGAAGGGTTGTGCACAAGTGTTAGAAAGATAAAAAGCGCCCTGAAAGGTGGGAAGCAGAGACAAATACAACCGTTTCGGATTGCCATAATTTCGGGGGATCATGTCCAGTCACACTCGAATGAAAAGGAGAACATTAGAGAAACCTAGGCTAACAATCTAAATGAATGAGTGGATTCGTTCCTCGCACCACTTTGCTTATCGTATATAACTTCTTGATATAAATCCCTGTAGGGGCTTCGACTAAAATTTCCTTGGGCTGACCACTGAGAATTTTGTATCAAATCTTGTGGACGATTCCCTTGCCCAGTCGCCATAGCTCGTGGGATGGGAACATGTACGTTTTGAAGTTTGCGGATTAAGACATGAGCACTGGACGTCCTATAATCCAGAAGGGGCAGGTCATGCCAGATTCGCAATTTTTTTTTGGGGGGGGGGGGAATTCTTGAGTAGTTCAGTGAATGATGACTTCTCAAGGACTCAGCTCCATGGAATTAGTTACAGGGGAAGGTTCATACTCTTTATGTCTGTCATTTTTCAGTGATGCTAACACCGCTTCTGAGGTAAATTAAAATATTTTGAATAATTACGTCCCTCGTACAACTTTTTTCATTTAATTCTACATTAGTAAGAGCAATGAACTTAGCATAAAACAGAAACAAATTAATATCTACTAACCTACATAAGGGAATAACAAGTGATTTAATTGCTTTACTAATTAATTAATCAACAGACTAATTAACAATCTAACGTCATAATCAGCTGACTTCAGTTATTCAGTATTGAGAGGGTGGGTTACCCCATGCACCGCGACCAATTTGATCTATTGAGCGTCCCCCTTTGAATTTCTACTGTCTCCATACCCTACCGGTACTGGTGCTTGCTATCGTTCCCTTCTGCCAGCGAGGTTTCGGCCTTCTACTGGCAGTGGTATCTAATAGTTAGTCCCTTTCTGTCAGTGAGGTTGTCCCTCCTTAAAAATTCCGCGACCTCCGCCGGGTTTGAACCCGCGTCATGAGGTGGGACTACGGAGGCCGCTTATCAGCTGACTTACTTAGATAACTGTCTCGATGTTGGACGACACGATCACAATCCCTGACAGCATTCCATGGGTTTCTATGGCGCCTAGTTGTGGGCTTAGGTTTCGCTTCGCATCGGTCAACTACAATCCGTAATTTATTGCTAAGTGAAGTTTAACCTTAATCTTGTAAATAGTAATATGGTATTTTATCGTCATACTGTGCACAGAATACTTTATTTAGTTCTGTGGTCTAGAGGTCAGAGTTCCTGACTACAAATCTAGATGTCCTGGGTTCAGTTCCCGGCCTTATACGATTTTGTGAGAAGTAGTGGGTCTGGAATGGGGTCCACTCAGCCTCGTGAGGATAATTGAGGAGCCATTTCAAGGAAATAGCGGCTCCGGTATAGAAAACAGAATTTAACGGCTGTAGGGATTTTTTTATTACTGTAGAAAAAAATATTGTAAATACGAAAAATACCCAGGCAATGTCCAATGTCGCGTAAGGCTGACAACCTTACCGCCATCTTTGAGCCGATTGTCTAGATAATGTGAGACCCTCAACGTCTCACAACCTTATGGGCCTTCACGGCCTGTTACAGGGATAGCTTTACTTTTTTTTACTTAATGCAAGTGCTTCGGCGTATTTATGACCCAAATAATGCTCAGTCAATATGAATAATTCATAGATATGTAGCTCGTTGTGAAGTGCAGGAATTTCTTTGCAAGACTCCTGTCCGTGGTCGTTTCGAATGAGACCAATCCAGCTCCTACGTAAAAAAAAAAAATAATCCCCACTCCTTCTCTAGCTGTTTTGCCAGCGAGGAGCCACCGGCATTAATATGATATAGGAAAAGCAACAGAGTCATCTACACGTAATGAAGGTTCACATCTCAGACCATGCTTAGCATCGAACTACAGTTGCCCGCACCGATGTCAGTACCTTTACGGATAGGAATTACGATTTTTTTTTTTGCCTAAAATATCTATGATTTTACGTCATGCCTTCAATGAATAACATTACGGAACGTCTTGTGTGTTCCACGAAATCTCTGTTATGGCGATTTGGGTTCAAATCATTTGCTGAAAACTGAACCTAGTAACTTTCTAACAATGACCTAACGAAGTGTCGCTATCTGATGACGGGGAACCCTCAAATAAGTTATAAACACAGCACTAGCAGTGAAATTATTCCACCTCATTATATATATTCTGTTTTAAATAATTAACATAACAGTAATTACTAGGAAGAGAAAAAAGGAAAATAGTCATGCTGAATTTGAATTAATTAGACATGTGCACAGTACCACAGCCCAGTGCTATCCCAAAAGTGTTGAAGTTCTCCAATAGATGGCTTGGCAACGTCCACGGTCACTCGCGGTTCTGCCCATACAATTACAATGGGGAGTGACCAGGAGATGGCAGCACTTTCCAGCAGCAAGCACATGAAACGGCTGTAAAAATTAAAGAATTCAGCGCCCTGATACACTGTAATGACATTGTTTATAATGTAATGGAAGTCTCTATACTTATATGCTTACGACTGTCAACAAATTACTTCATGTTTCATCTCCCATTTACCTGTTTCCCATCTTTTGCGTGTCAACTTCTGCACATACGATGTATACGACACCCTTCTGCTAACGCTTAGCTAAGTTAGCTAACGACCTTCTAACTACGTACAATATAGACCACAAGAAAGTACACGATTAATGCAGCGAACGAATTGGATGACGCAACAGATGTGTCAATGATAATAGACCGGGGTCTCCCGATGTTAACAGGCAATACTAAAATACAAAGAATGCCATTACCGACGTAGCACACGCACCCCTGGTGATCGTTTGCTCTTCGCACGAGTAGTACCCTGCTGCCAATGTTTAAAACTTCTCTGCTGACAGCACGTTCGCCGTCTGAGCGAATGTCACATAATCAGAAGCCCGTCTTATTCATGCTTACGTGGTACCCCACCAGAGTCCACAAAAGTGCAACTGAATTTGCCAATTGAACGGAGGTAACCGAGATACTGCATGTCTACATATTTCTCCTGGCAAGTTCCGCTACCCTTCACGCATTATACTTACATACTTTTCACTATCGTATTTATTACGTGCATTAAATTATTGTCAGCACATTATCTTCGTATGACAAGAGTATACTGTACATCACAAATCATTCTCGCATTACTTTCTCTGTAGGCAATTTTTCCTCTTTTCTCCAACTGTATGAATCGTTGTCGACAAGAAACACAAACCGTGGCTGTAAGTTTGGAGGGAGATTTTCTGGAAAATTCGTTTCGTAACGTTGGCCATCCACTTCCGCCATTTGATTGGCACAAAACCATTTTCGTTTCCAGTATGAACTGTAGTGAAACTTAGTCCGCGACCCATGAGAGCATGAGAGGGTACTTTTAACCCAGCAGAAAGTTTTGCTAGGGCTGTTTGCCTGGAAGATACAATTATCTTATGTCTCTGTACCTTTTACAATGTGATCCTCGTATGCATCAGTGAATACAATACTCTTTGCCTTTTTTTAATGTTCCTCTGTATTTGTGACACCGACAGTATCGCCTCTTTCAATAAGCATCGCTTTATTTCCCCTTCTTTCATAAATATAATATACCCCCTTAGAATAACATGAAGGGTGGTTCTTTTTTAAAATGATGGAAATCGAGGTCGCTCTTTAAGGCTGTCATACAGATTTCAGCGTTGGTGGTTCATTTCTGAAGCAGAATTCACGAAGTTTCCACCTCAGTCCACTCCTGTCGCAGTCACTGATCCTTTTATCTCTGCTTCCAATGACTGTATGTGCCCACATTGAGATCAAATCAGCACATACGAAACTTGGTGAGCATACATACCCAGTGATCAACTCTATGTAACATTTTATTTTGTTGATTTTAAGGGCCTAACGCGCTACGTAGGGCATGTACTGTCTTCGCTCACTCGGAAGCCTGGATCGTGGGTTCGAATCCCACTGAGGGCATGGATGTGTGTGTGCGTTTTTCTGTGTTTATGTATAGGCAGCGGCCTTGCGACGAGCTCATCACTCGCCCAAGGAGTCCTACCGAATGTGTAAGATCTAGAAAAACCGAAGTGAACAGAGAGGTTCATGGAGGTAGGCCTAGGCCCACTGGGGCTGCAGTGCCAAGGGAAAAAAAAAACGCGCTACGTATACTATAAAAGATACGATCACCAGACAGAACAGAAAGAAAATGTACACAAAGCATCTTATATCACTAAGTAAATTATGCATCTGTATCATATGAAAAGCAGGGTAATCTAGGACGCAGAATGGCAAAGACCACATTTGAAAACGCCGACTACTTTTTTATCATTTTTGTTAACAATACAACCGGTTCTACGTAACTTTTGTTCCTGGAGCAGTATTGTTAAACATTCAAGAGGAATTTTGTTAAGTGGGAAACCCTGAATTGTTTTTCAGTAAATTTTTAAATTCAGTCGATATGGTGATGGACTAAGGGATTGGCAGCTGGGGTTTGATTCCCGCCTGAGGCAAGAGATTTATCTTTTTCCATAGCATCCAAACCGGTTGTAGGGCCCTGCAAACCTCCTATCCAATAGGCGCCGAGCCGTAGGGGTAAAGCGGCCAGGGCGTGAAGCTAACCACTCACTTCCACCTAGTGCAGACCTATACCTCCATTCCCCGAAAGTCTACATGGGTTGGTGCTCAATTAATTAAGCCCAGGGATGTCATTTACTGATCTGTTTTGTCTACTTTGTTTTAAATGTTGCTAGATTTATAGGCTCTTTTCTCGTGGTAGAATTACGTGTATTTTTAAAACATATGCCAAGATGTTTCTACCTACTGTCTTCACGAACGGCACTCGGCGACAGAATCATGGTGCAAATGGAAGGCTCTGTTACATCCAGTGTGCAGAAAATGCTGTCCTACTAACATGTAGGTTAGATTACATTTAAACTTGCTTTTTAGGGCCGTTTTGAGCCCTGCGGAGCGAATTTTAATTTCTTGATGCACTGGTAAGTCATGTAAAACCAAAGCAGTTGAGTCGACTACAAAATCGCCAATAAATCGACGGATATATTTTATTAGTACTTCCCTTTGCGAAATGCCAGTCCTCAGTATCAGACGGGACTAGTAGTAAGTGTGATTATTACAACTGTGTAGTTAAAACCAATGAAAATAAATTAAAAAGATCTATGCTAATTGGATAAGAGAAGGACGTAATCATGATTCATACGGCTGACAGCCCGACGGATTACAATTTCAAATTAATTAAAGTGATTAAAGCGAATTAAAACGAGCAGTGCAGTGATTTCGACACGGTAACAAATACCCATATTCATCACAGCTAACATGGATTGCTAGTAACCAGCGCTACGTGTTACACGCTGTGAAGATAGTGACAATAAAATAACATACCTCATACTTAAACTGAAAGCCTGTGTTTGGCTATTTCAGTTCTTAACCTGTCGATAGCGTCCACCCAGACCTACTGGTGCTTCCTGGAGTCTCGGCCTTATGTTCCCGTGTGCCAGGCAGTTATATCTGCCACATTCCTAAGCTAATTAACTCATCCAACCAAACTCATGCAATAAATCCATCCAACCTGCATATAGTTCATCTACCTTCCTATATAATCATCAATTGGAACTGTTAAATTATGTGAAATTAGTCACAAACTTATTGCTCCAAGTGTCGCTTCATTCTTATTATTTCTCAAAATTTTCCACTTTCGTGTTTCCCATTCTTTTAGTATATAAACTTCTATTCCACGGTCTGCATCTCATCGTACCTCGTTTTGCAGTTGATATCCACTGAATCACTTGCCAGGGTCACTTAGGTTATCACTACAGCAGTATTCTATCTCTCTCTCTCGCCACAATGTACATAAAACATTGACTAATTCTTGGGTCTTTTGACGACGCTTTTTTTTACTGAAATCAGAAACGGTGTAATTGACCGTGGCTTGTTTCCCGGTATCACCCAACATTAATCTCGATAGAACAAGTAAAGCAACAAAATTCCTGCCAGGAGATTTAATCGTCCGACTGAGATTCGAACCCTGGATCTCCCGAATGAGAATAAATGCTAAACACTAAACCGCGACGTTGACATACATAAGAACATAGATGGCAAAGTAGTTTCCTCCAAAAGAATATCTTTACATTATCTTCAGTGACAGTGTAGTTTGACCCTCTAAAAGGCCTCTTGAAGATGATATAAACATAACTCATTTATTTATATATCAGGACAGTAACCTCCTAGACCTCCCCGTGTGGAGGCAGGTTAGAATACCTCCAGCATATCTCTGCTAGTCGACGGCGGCCCAAAAGGAACCCGGTGGCTGGGAGTATAATTGGGCAACCCTGTCACTGGGGGATATAATTAGAGAGACTTGGTCCTCCAGGTTGGGGGTTGGACGAAAGGCAGACAACTTTTCTGTTAAAAAGAATTACTGTTGTGAAATCCAAAGGAGTAAAACCCAGACGGTCTAATTTCCAGAAACAGGGAAGTGTGGCATAATGTTCTATGAAAGATTAAGGTTCAAAAAGGGATGTTCTGCCACTGATAATAATGATGATTCTCCTATATCCATATGTTACCCCTCTCAACATTTTTAAAGTATCAAAGAGTGCAACAACTGAACGACGGCTCCATACACTGTTACAGAAACAAGGTAGACTGTCAGATTTCACAAAGTCATACGAGGGTCGTACTGAAAGTCATGAGCAACAATATTTTTGTAAAGTAACATGCTTTATTATTGACAAACCAAATACACCACCTCACTCTACAGACCTTTCTTTATATTTCCACATAATCACTTCTTTGTACACATTTCTGCCAGCCTTCTGGGAGTTTGAAAATTCCCCTTCTGTAAAATTCCGTTCCAGCCATCCAAAGACACTGACGCACTGCTTTCTGAATTGCCTCCCTTGTCTCAAAACGTTGTCCACGCAGCTGATCCTTCACAAGTCCGAAAAGACGGTAGTTGGAAGGTGCCAGATCATGGCTATAGGAGGGGTGTGGAAGAACTTCCCACCCCATCTTTGCAATTGCTTCCAATGTGAAGCGAGCAGCGTGGGGGCGAGCGTTGTCATGCAGGATGATGATGTTTCGTCCTGGACGTTTATCGCACAATGCACGGTGGAGCTTGTGCAGCGTCTGGACATAACGAGCAGCACTGATGGTTTGCCCAGGTTCCAGGAACTCGGCCAGAATAAACCCCTCTGCATCCCAGAAAACTGTGCCCATCACCTTCGCAGCTGATGGCACTGTCTTTGCCCTCTTTTTTGATGGAGAATGCAAATGGTGCCATTCCATACTCTGCCGTCTCGTTTCGTTTCGTTTCGTTTCAGGCTTGAAATGGTGAAACCAGCTTTCCTCACCTGTCACAATACAGAGCAAAAAATCATCGCCTTCATGTCGATATCTCTGCAGCAGTTCTGAGGTGATGGCTTTTTGCGGAACTTTGTAGTCTTCGGTCAATAACCGTGGGACCCAACGAGCACAAACTTTCCTGTAGCCCAAGCTTTCAATCATCTCCTGTACTGTACTGCACCCTATTCCAAGTTTTTGGGCTATTGTGTCCACAGCCACATGCCTGTCATCTTGAATGATCTCATCCACTCTTTCCTTGTTGCATTCAGTTGAGGCTGTTCGAGGACGACCGCTCCGAGGTTCATCTTCGATACTGGTGTTCCCATCTTTAAAATGTTTCACCCATCTTCGAACACTGCTCGCACCCATGCACACACTTCCATAAGCACGCTGAAGTCTCTGGTGAATTTCTGCAGCAGGGATTTCCTCTTTCACAAGAAATTCGATGACAGCATGCTGGCGAAACGACATATTGTCGTCCATTTTGTTACGAATGATACT